CAAGAGGCTAGATGGCTTTCTACCATGCACCTGAGGTGCCCCATTCACCCTAATGCCTTGTCCCCTTGTCTCCCACCCCACCTCCCACTGGGCTGAGCTCTCACCTCGGAAAGGTTCATGACAGCAGTGCCAGTGCCTTCAGGGTCCATGCTATGGAAGAACCCTGCAGGGGCACAAAAGCAAGGTGAGCAACACTTCCCTCTCTCCCTGCCCTCCCTGCCCCAGAGCCACCACTCACTGAACATGGCCTCCAGCTTCACAAGGCAGCAGACAAAGTTGTCAAAGTCCACGCCCATGTCAGCGTCTGCGTAACGGGCCACCACCACCTGATGCAGCTTGTTGTTCAGCTTGAAACCTGCGAGGCAGAGAGCAGTCAGCACCCGAGGGAGGCAGAAGAGGAGGGTGTAACTATGAAAGTCCACGTCCCTGCCCAGAGGTGCCACCAGCCCACACAAGGAAGGGCACTGCATCCAGCCTCAGCAAGAAGTGGGGATGCTCTCCCTGGAGCCATATAACTAGTTAGCTCACTGATCCACCCCAGGCCTCTGTTTTGCCAGGATGGGACCCTGCAGGTCAGAGGACAGAGGCTGGGACCACCTTGCGTGCGTCCCTAACTCTGAGGCTCCAGCACTTGGGCACAGCTGGGATGGAGAGAGCCCATCGCAGACATGGTCCACATCTCACTACCATGATGGGTTGGCTCCAAACACACAATATAGACTGGTTTCACCTTTCTCCAGCTACGTGGGACAGGGGTCTGACAGCAGGGCCCCTCCCTTCCCAGCCCCCAGCCCAGCCCCATCTTTCTCCAGACCTACCAGCTGACTCTAGAGCCATGCGCATCTCATAGGAGCTCATGGTGCCTGACTTATCCAGGTCATGCTGGCGGAAGATCGTCTGCAAAAACATCACAGAGGATGTGAAGGGCAGGCTCTCCTGTGGCCTCCAGCCAGGCTGTCCCCTCACCTTGCTGCCCCAGGAGCAGTGGTATCCCTGTACAGTGCACCATGCCCCCAGCTCCTCCTCACCAGCCAGCTCCGGATCTTGTTCCACAGGATCTGGAACTCCACCAGCCCAAGGCGGGCACTGCCATCTTTCTGGGGAGCAGAGGGTCAAGGAGAAAGCAGCCAGCAAAGGGGGTGGTGGAAAGGCAGAGCCATCAGATCCCAGTCACCTGAGGCAAGAAAAGCCTAACCACACTTGGCCTGCCCAGTCTTTCCCCAAACTTTCCCTCTCTGTCCTGCAGCATCAGCAAGATCAGAGCCTACAACACGGCAGGGAAAGTGCAACGCTTGAACTAGCTGCCATGCCACTCCCCGGGAGCAGCTGGGCTGCTGCTATAGGAAGCACATGGCTATGGTGTCCTTGGAGCAAAGCTGCGCTGGCCTGCAGCAAAAGAGGATGCTGCAGGACCAGGCTGGAGAAGGACTAGTTCGTGCTCCTCTGCCCTTGCCTGACCCCTCAGCTGTGTGTCCTTGTGCATGCAGGAACACAGGCCATGCCTCCTGTCACTTTACGCCTCTCATCCTCAGCTACTGGACAGGATGGTTGTGGGGGAAAGAAGCCCAACAGCCCTCGTTCCCTTCCAGTGGCACCTCAAAGGCTGAGTGGCATCACAGGACGCCAGACTGGGGAGCTTCTGGGGAAGAGAAGCACAGGGTGCTTCCTCCTGGAGGGGAAGGTTGAAGGCGCAAGTGGGGTGGGGCTGGGCTGGGCTTCTGGTGGCAGGCAGGGGCACTGATGGTCCCTTCCAAAAAACCTGCTGCTAAAGCCCGGGGGTGTAGGGTAGGTGTCCTTGAAGCCACAAGGACCCTTTCCTTCCTTCTTCTGGTTGAACAGTCTCAGCACAGCCAGAGAGCCAAGTCTTGCTGCAGGCAGGCTGAGCACCAGGGAAGCAGGCCCCTGCCCACAGCACCAAGAGGATACATCCATCAGGTTGACCATGTTGCGGCAGGAGTCCAGGCTGAACCCATCCGTCTTCAGATCTTTGTCTGAGGAGAAAGGAGGAAGTTGAGCACGTGCATCAAAACCCAACCTGCTGAGCAGATGTGGGCCATGGGGAGCAAGGGGCAGGAAGGGAAGCACTTACGTCTAGCGATGACTCTGTTCAGAATAGTCCGGAGCTCGAAGACGCTGATTTCCATGTCCTGCAGCAGGAGCAGAGTTAGCAGCATCCCTTGCCTGCTCTCCACCCCACTTGTGGTCATTCTCCCTCTCCTGCTTAAATCTCTCTGCCTTAGTCACAAAACATCAGGGTGCCATTGTGTTTCCTGCATGCCCAGAAGAGTTTGAGCCACAGCTGGATGCCCCTTCCCCAAATCTACTCCCATCACACTACCCCTGAGGGCAGCTGGGCTGAGCCATGGCAGGGATGGACTTGTCTGCAGGATTGGACTGAGCAAGCGTGGGGTGCGCCAGAGCTCCCATAGCCAGGGATCCTGTCCAGTCCCCTTCCCAGGCCAGGGCTCCCCAGAGCTTGGTGCAGCCATACCCACCTCCCCTGCCAGCTGCTGGAACATGTTCTTGAAGCCATCCTCTATGTCATCCTCAGTTATTTCTTCCTGGAGTGATGCAGGCCAGAAAGAAGAGGTGAGTGGTCAAACGTGGGCTCTGCCCTGCCTCAGCAAACCCAAACTGGAAGGGAAGCTCTTCTTTGCTCTTCTCATCTTTGTTGCTTCCCACATTCCCATCACCTCGACCCTGCCAGCCCCTCTCCAGCCACAGTGACATCCCAAACCCAGGCAGCCACCTCCTGCCTGCAGCTCCCCCTCCCAAGCCCCAGAGCCTCAGCACCAACCAAACCAAAGTGGCGGCTCCTACCTCATCTGCCAGATCTGCTGAGATCTCCTCGTCCAGCTCCCTGGGGGCAGAAAGGAGGAAACCAAAGTGATGAGCAGGCTGCCTGCGGTGGGGAAAGGTCCCACTGCTCACAGACACAGGGCATGCCCTGGCCAGGCCGAGACTCACGCTGTGTCCGACTGCTTCTCGGTGAAGACCCGCAGGACGAAGTCGGCCTCCTTGTGCGGCTCGAAGGTGGAGGGCACAACGATGTACTCGCCAGGGGGCAGCCGGATCTGGTTGCTCACCTCCCGCAGATTGATGAAGGTCTCAGATCGTGCCCGCGACTGGTTTCGCAGGAAGAAGTCCTTCTTCAAGTGCACGTTCTGGGTACCCTGGGCCTGGGGAAATGAACGTGTTTGTGGACCACAGCCCTGCAATGCAGGGGACCCACAGGGAGCGGCGAGACCAAGGCCAGCCCCATTGGGCAGGACATCCTTGCCCATCCCATCCCATTAGGAGCCATCCCTCCCCCATGGAGGTGCCCAGCACCCATTAGCACCCTAGTCACTGGGTGCACATGCGTGTGTGCATGTGCATTAACCCATTCCTGCCCACTCTTAGGCTCCCCTTCAAGAGGGTTTAGGCTCTGGTGGCTCAGGACGTACCTCCTCAGGAACCTACAGGGAGGAGAGAAAAGGGAAAAAAAAAAAAAAATCAGAATCTCAGTACCTGACCCCATCCCTTACAGTGCGAGGAGCACAGGACAGGGGACATTAACCCACAGAACAGCCAAAGGAGATGGGAAAGGTTTCCTTGGGGACTGAGGTGCCAGGTCCAGGCAGGACTGGCCAGGCTGAGCCAGTCCCAAGGAAGCAGCATGAGGGTATGCAGGCGTTACCTCGTAGACAGCGAAGCCGATGGTGTGCATGTCGCCCCCCACTCGCCGCTCCCGCCGCCGATGCTTCTGCATCAGAGCCACCAGGAAGCTGCAGGCCACCTCATCGTCCCCGGGGTCATCGTCTTCTTCCAGTAGCTTGATCTTAAACTGGGGGTTGATCCAGAACGTGGCTGGGAGGAAGAGGACACGTGGATGAGACACCTGGCTCAATCGCATTGGCCAAGAGCAGAGATGTGGGGGGCAGAGGTACCTGGGTGATTCCTACAGCCCCCAGCAGTGCTCCCTCGGCGCCACGTGCCCTCAAACACCTGCGTGTGCCACCTGCTGAGTTCGTCCTTGGTGAGGGCATCGGGGGTCAGGTTGCAGATCTCCAGCCTGGAGAACTCCCTCATGAAGTCCCGGAAAGACATCCTGCAGAAGGTAGGCGAGGGCTGAGGCCAGGGCACTGCTTGGGGAGAGGGAGGACAGCACACGCAGCTCCGGACCCAGCCAACGTTTTGGGAGAATTAAGTGACAGGAAGGTCTTTTACCCTGAGCAGTTACAGCTCATTTAAAGCCCACTGCTGGATTTGGGAAGAAGGGATGTTTACCCTTCGTAGATGTTTATTTTGCATTTAGTTGGGCTGAATTTCCTTGAAGGGAGGAAAATTATTAACCAGATTAGACGAGAAAACGCTAGCAGGCTCTCCGGTGCTGGAAACCCAGCTCATAAAGGCAAGTCATGTGCTTCAGGTGAAGCAGGACTGCGGGATCTCTCCCCAGCTCCTCTGCTCCTTCCCAGGCTGGCTGCTGAAGGAGAGCAGCACTTTGCCCTGGCACTCACCAGAACTCTCCGTCCTCCATCTTCAGCTGCAGCTCCTCCCTGTCGCCAGGGTCAATGCTGTTCCACTCAGAGGAGCTGGAGTAGTAGTAGAGAGACAATTAGATGAGGACTGCTCAAGGTGAATGAAGAACACTTTAGAGCTGGCCCTCAAGTGCCCCCCTCGCCGATGCGAAGGGCGCTGCACGCTGCGAACTTCCCCTTGGCAGTGCCGTGCACTCGATTGCTGCGTGTGCAGTGACAACTGGTGTGCCACCAGCGGTACCGAAGTCCCATCTGACTCACCCATCGCT